AGAAAGAGCTAGATTTGAGCCATTGTCATTTCGTGTATTCGTCAATTTTGTTCACCACATACATAATTAGCTCTCTATGATAAATAGTCCGTGAAGAGGCATAGTAGCTCCTGCCTGCCTTCGTTGTGCTGGGGGTGGCTTTAAAGTGATTACGTCACCGTAAATAGTAAAAAATAAAAAATATATTTCCACTTTTTCACAAAATATAAGTAATTCTGTTCACATTTTATGGTTAAATTGCTGCATTATACTTCCTATTTTACTATATTGTTTGATGTGAACATACACTCGTGACCCATACATAGCCCATAGCAAGCAATTAATGTTCAGAACATTAATTCAAATCGTCGAGGTTTTTTGGATTTTTAACTAGTTGAGAAACAATCTTATCAGGTAAGAATTTGACGATTTGTTTAGTCCCGTTAGTTCTTACTCTTAATGTAAAAAAATGGAATTTTTTTTTTTTAACAAATTTTACCATAGAAAATTCGTGACGTAGTCCCTTTAAAGGATCTGTGTCGTGCTTTTAAACGTCAAGAGAATTTTTGCATTAACATTTCTGCGATTTGTGCTTTACTAATACTGTTTAGACTTAATCAACTTATTACTCTAGGTACTAACTAACTAAAATAAACTAACTAAGTGAAATGAAAGTAACTAAAATAATGTGTGTGAAAAATTCAATAATTATAAATTATTTTATGAATTGTAATTTTTGCTGAAAAGCTCAACACGAATTATTTACGCGCATCTTTAGATGTCCTCTCTTCGTAACTCCATCATCTTCTCCAACCAACGGTCCGTGGGGCGGTAGCAGTGAAGGTCAGCTGGTTGATCGAGCAATTGATTTTCCGTGGGCGGCAGACGATCCTGGCCACGACCACGGAGCGTCTAGAGCAACCAATAGGGGTTCGTCATCGTCTTTGGCCGTTCGGTAGTTATTCGGAGAAAAGTGGTGAAGTTTTGAGCGAGCTATTATATAATTATAACACGGGTCTGTTTAATTCGTATATATAACTGTCTGTAACTATGACGTTCTAACTTGGGTTGTCCTAAAAAATGAGTGTCCAGCCGAAAAATAACGTTCGCAGGCGAAATGTTACGATTTACGTCGTTTGTTTTTTGTTGAGATTTTGAGATAACTGAATATTTGTTGTGATTTTTTTACCGTAATTTTGATACCGCTATATTTTTTTTTTACGGAGATGTGGATATTACTGAATTATATTTTTACGGTTTTTACCGTGATTTCGGTACGACTGAATCATTATTTTTGTGTTTTGTTTTTCATTACCGTGATTTCGATGCCCCTCGTTGACGCTCGTGAGATTTTTTGCTGTGATTTCGGTGCTAATGAAAGAGAATGGCAGCTGGTATCGGTCCATACATCGCTGGTCAGTTGGCCGACAATAGCGTGGCTGTTGTGCGACCGCCGGACTGCCCATTGTCCATCTGAGTGGCCGCCTGCGGGGCACGGTAATCGCCAGGGCGTTTGAGTAATTAGCGTGATCGACTGTGTAATTAATGACCACTTAGCAGGCGGTGAAACTCTTGCCACGCTGGTCACTTGCTGCTGCTGCTGCTGGTGGTGGTGGTGGTGGTGGTGCTGCTGCTGCTGGTGGTGGTGGTGGTGGT